GCGCCGGGGCAGGGCGGGCGGGCGGGCAGCCGGGGAGAGCGGCCGGGAGCCGCGGCCGTCACACACGCAGAGCGGAGATTTTTTTAAGTAACAAATGTACTTTTTTTATTTGTGAAACAAAAATATCGTTTTCGGCTTAACAATAGCCGGATCTCGCTGAATGAAGCCTTTGCATATTTTCCTGTTTTAATTGGTTGTATAATAAACAGTCCTGACCCCGCACTCTCTTTTCAATGAGTTCAGGGTGAAACACGGACCATGGGACTGGAAATGACTTTTTCACCACTTAAAACACGGACAAGAATACCAGGAATCAGGCGGTATTAAACAGCCGCACCGGCCGGGGCGGGAGGGGGGCGCAAGGTAAGAGCTGTGTGTGTGTGTCTCCTCCCGGAGCACGGCTCTGCCCCGCGCGTAGCCACCGGCACCGTCGCCCACCCGCCCCGGGCACGACGAGAGGCGGCTCCACCGGGGTCCCTCAGCGCTCCGTTACCGGCGGCTGCTCCCGCCGGGCCGGGGGCAGCCGTGCCCGTGCCACGCCGTGCCGTGCCGTGGGGGAGCGCTCCCGGCGTCGAGGGCTCTGCCACCCTCCGAGCCCGAGAGGGTCTCGAAGGGTGCGCAAAGGATCGGAGAAGAAATAAAACCGACGGCCGCCAAAGAGCGCCCCCCCCCCCCCCTCCCGGGCCCAGCACTGCCCCCGGGGGCTGGAGCAGCCGGGGAGCGGCGGGACTCCGCTCAGCCCCGGGGCGCAGACCCTTCCCCTCCGCCGAGGGGCACGGGCAGCGCGTTCCCTCTCCGGCAGTCTCCAGGGCAGACGCCGTGCAGGGAGAAAACAGCTCTCGCTCTTCTGCTTTCATCTCTCGCCAGCGTTGCATAAACCTGGGGCGGCTCCGGCAGGGCTGCGGCGGCAGCTCAGCCGGGCCAGCGGCGCTGAGCTCCCCCCCGCCCCGGCTCCGGCCCCCGGAGCAGCCCCGCGGCGGGCGGCGGCCCCGAGACCGGAGGAGGCTCCGCGCCGCCGGTTCAGGCCCGGGGAGCGCGTCCCGCTCGGCGGAGCGTTCCTCCTGCCTTCATTTATGTAACGGGGAAAGGCCTTACACAACGCGCAAAGCCAGCTCTCGCCAAGAGACCGGCGCTGGGCCGCTCGCTTTCGCGAGGGGCCGCCGGGGCCGGTGGCGGCGCGGCCGGGGGCAGGCGGCAGCCACGGGCAGAGGTGGCGCGGCGGCCCCGGGCGAGGCCACGCTGAACCGCCTTGGGCAGCCCCTGGCCCGCGCCGTTCGTGCCCACGGGGCTGCCTGCACGTGGGGTCGGCGCAGAACCCTTCTCCCGCCCAGCCGCTGCCGTTCCAAGCCTTTCTGTCCCGGGATGAGGGCCCGATCCTGCGTGGCAACAAGGCTGCCCCGGGACCTGGGCTTGGGGCTGAGGGCAGGCAAGTCCCTTACGGGAGGCTCCGTCCCTGCGTGCCAGCGCCTGGGCGTTTGTTAGCGCGCAGCGAGGTCCCCGGCGGCTCCCCACGGGCCGGTGCCCGCTGCCCGTGCGAACATCGGCGAGCAGGGACGTGACGGCCGCACCCCTCCCCAGGCCGGCGGGACCCGAACGGCAGAACCGGCCGCTCTCGGCAGCGGCAGAGGCCGAGCTGCTGCCGGCAGGACGAGCCCGGGTTTCGCTTTGATTCCCGTCCCCTCTACGGAGGAGCCGAAGGCCGAGCGAGAAGGCGCTGCCGGGGGCACGGAGCGCAGGCAGCCCCGTCCCGCCGGGCCCGGGAGGGGGAGCGGTCCGCACCGGGGTTGCCCGGGCGGTGCTGAGGGCAGGGAGGGAGGGGGTTGCAGCCGTGCCCAGGACACGGGGACTGTTTAATAAACCGCGCGAGTTTACGTTCAGTGCAGCCTCTGTTTATAAAATACAGAAAACGATCGTGAAAACATCCTACGGGCGCGACGGCGGGCCCAGGGCACCGCAGCAGAGAGCCCCGGGTGGGTGAAGGCTGGCCGGACACCCCGAGGGCGCCTTTGCCTGCTTCCAAACTACCCCACGCTCCCGCGGGGACCCTCGTCCAGAGGCAGCGATTGCCCATGACCGAACGGCAGTCAAACCCGCTGCTCCGTGCCTCTCCGTATTGCCAGAGCCGGGTACCGGTCACGCACGGCGGGTGCCGGCTCTCCCCCTGCGACGGCACCGCCAGGAGACCCCGCACGGCCCTGCCCGGTCCCGGGCTGGCATCGCCCTCTCCTGCGCCTAGGCACCACCAGGTATCGCTTCGTCCAAAGCCGGCGACGCCCCAGTCGCTCCCGGGCGCTCGCCAAGGCCGCTGGAGCCCGGCCGAGCGATGGCACAACCCGGGCAGGGGCCGGGGCGACGCTCCCGCCCTCCCCTCGCTCCGTGCCCGCTTCGCCATGGCCTCCGACGCACCACGAAGGAAACAAGCAGGACTAGCAGCATCGATCGAATAAGCAACGAGCTGCTAAGGCCCTGAGCCCTGCGGTGCAAGGCCGCATCCCACAAGCGGCCGCCGGGCTGTCAGGGCCGGTCGCCGCGCTCGCCCTGAGGGCATGAGAGCGGTGCCGCCTCTCGCCTCCGCCGCCAGCTCTCGCCTGAGGGCCCCGGGCAGGTCAGAGACCCCGAGAGACCACCCCGCTCCCGGCAGCGGCCGGCAGAGCCACGGGTGGCAAAGGCGTGAGTCGGGGCCGTGTCCCGTGTGCGTTGGCAGCCCCGGGGCTGCCCCCCGCTCCGTTCCGGCCTTTCGGCTCCCATCACACCAGGGTACGTGTAGGGGCTGGGCTCGCTCCTCTCTCTCGGTGTCCGGGGCAGCAGCTCGGCCCCGCAGGCATCTGTCCCCGGCGCGGAGCGGCCGCGGAACTGGCGCCGCGCAGCCACCCCGGTTGCCGCAGCCTCGCGTGTCCCTGCCCGCCCGGGAGAGGAGCCCCTCGGCCGCCCCGCCGCTCGCTGAGAGCTCTGGCCCGAGGGCAGCGGTCACGGCGGCTCCACTAGCCCGCAGCGAGGCCGGGTTGGCCCCTTTTACCCTGGCCGTGCTCGCCGAGCTGCGCCGCGGCAGAGAGGCGACCGGTCCCCACGTCCCCCCCCACTGATTTCTGCGACCGGGCTGAAGGCTGCCGCTTCCTTCCGTGCAGGGATCCTGAAGCAGGCCTGGGCACAGCGGGAGAGCGTCAGGCAGCCGGGTAACGGCCTGTCTGCACCCGGCGCCCCTGTGTCACGTCTCCCGTGGGCCCCACCACAGGCCCCCGGCAGCGGGCGGGGAAGCGCTCACCCCCGGTACCGGGTTTAGCTCCCGGCACCCCCTCTCCGGGGGACCGAGCTGACCGCGGAACAAGCGGAACACCCGCAGCCCCGCTCCCGCCCGCGGAACATCGGGCCTGGCCCGGGCTGGCGTGCAAGGGGACCCGCTGCGCCCCGGCCCGCCCCGGGCAGGGCCAGCCCGCCTGCCCCGCCGAACCCGCCGCCGGCGAGCACGGGCAGGCTGTGCAGCCAGGCCCAGGCCTCGGGAGCGCCGCTGCCCGAGCCACCGGCCCGCCGAGGAAAGCGAGACCCGGCAACGGCTCCCGGCCCCGGCCGGGGCCCAGACGGGCCGCGGGTCCCGCCGCAGCGGGGGAGAAACGAAAGCGGAGCCGGGGTGTGCGGCGGGCACAGCCTGCGGCACTGTCCGGGGGGCTCTGTCTCCCGGGGCGCCGGCTACACGGGCGCGGTGCTGGCGGCTGCCCGCGCCCCGGAGCGGTGCGGAGCGGAGCGGCGGCGCTCCCCGGCCCGCCCGCCGTGCCAACGGAAGGGTCTCCGCACCTTCTCGGCAGCCGCCAAGACGACACCGGGCCGGACCCCCTCCCGCCGCTGCGCATCCCGCCACGGCGCTTCCCGGAGCCGATACGCCGCCCGAACGCAGCCCCGCGTATTTCCCGCAGCAGAGCAGGCGTGCGCGGCGGCGGAGAGCGCTGCCAGCCCGCGGCCGTGCCCCGGGGCCGGGGGCCGGGCGGGCAGCGCGGAGCGGCCCCGGCACAGGGCGCCCGCCCCGTTCTCCGCTGCCGCTTCTCGATCCCGAGCACGGAGGAGCGGAGTGAAATAAAACGATATGATAAGAAGGAAAGGCGTTTTATTGGAGACTTTACAATGCTAGAAAGTACAATAAAAGTGCTAGTTCACTCTAGAAAAGTTGGTCCCAAAATGGTGCTATGCCACAGCATCTATCAGCTTACATAAACATTTATAAAATCGCTATGAACTGGCCCGTGTATTAAAAACGCTAGTTTGTTTTTGGTTTTGTTTTTTTCCACATTAATCTGTGTAAAATTGAAGGATCGAAACGTTTTAAGAAAAAGGGCAAGCATTCGAAAGCAGAACCTACCGGAAAATCCATTTTGGGCCAGGTTTGGGGTTAAAATCCCCGAAGATAGTTTAAACTTTCATTATTAATAATAATATGCACATGGAAAAATATTCCAATTTACAGGCAACCGTCTTTTTTTTTTTTTTATAACATCAAAATATTTTTTTTTTAGACCTGCATAAAATTACTTTTAAGACCTCAGAGGACATTGTCTCCTTAAAAAATATATTTAGCGCTGCCGAAACGTTTCACGAGTGACCCTGGCGGGTTTTGCATGTTGGTTTTTAATAACCAGCAATATCGCACATCTCCTGCTGTTACAGCAGTCCCCACACAAGTACTATTTTGACGAAAAGCCACAGCTCGGAAGAAGCGCAGTGCTCTGCAGACCGAGGAAGAAGAAAGAGAAGATGAAGAGGAGGAGGAGGACGAGGACGAGCACCGCGGGCACACGGCAGTGCCTAGGCCCCGCCAGCCTCGCACCGCCACGCGTGGAAATGCTCCCGCTATTTACAAGCTCCGCTTTACTCTCCCCGAGGCTGAGCCCGAAAAGATTACGGCCGAATTATAAAGGAGCACAATTTTGAGGGCTCAACAGCCTATTTTTAATTACATGCTGCCCTCCCCATACCCCCCCCGCACCTCCCCCCCCCGCTCCCCAAATCCCTCACAAACGAACAAACACATGAGCAGAGAAACGGGCGGTAAATCCGAGCTCGCCTGGAGGAGGCAGCCGGCCCGGCCACCCCGGCGCAGCCCCGCTGGGGCAGCTCCCACATTTCCACTGCCTTCTCCTCACCGCAGCACGGCTCCTACACTGCTACGCTACACGCGGAGCAGGGCTGCTATTTCCCCACCGCAACAGTTTGGGCACAGAGAGAACCAAGTCCGCAGCTAGGGAGGAGGAGGAGGAGGAGGGACACGGGAGCGCAGGAGAACGCGGCGGGACCGGAGATGGGTAGCGGGGTCGGGGTAAGGGCATTTCTGTGGCGGCGGCCGGCCAGAGCCTCCCTAGATGTCTATGCGGGAGTGCAGGGCGCTGTGTTTGCTGTCGTGCTCCCAGTAGGAACAGTGCATCATGGACAGCTCGGCGGGCTGGCGGGCGCAGGCGAACTGGAGGCCGGCTCCGTTCGCCGCCGGGGCCGCGGGCGGCGCGGGGCTGGCCGGGCTGAGCTGCTGGGGGTGGTGGGCGTGCGGGTGGTGGTGGTGGCCCATGCCGTTGTAGGAGTTCACCATGCTGGGCAGCGCCATGCTCTGCACCCGCGAATAGGGGCTGTAGGACGCCGGGCCCGAGAGTCCTTTCACATTGACGGGGCTGACGTTCCCGCCAGACATCTGGCAAGAGGTGTAGGGCATGGGCGCGGGGGGCTGCGCCAGCGGCCACGAGTTGTTCATGAAGGTGGACTGCAAGTACTTGGGCGGGGAGAGGTAGCCGTAGCTGTCGGGGCTGAAGAGGGTCTTGCCGGGCTGGAAGTGGGTCGGGGGCGGCCGGAAGGGCCGCTTCATCCTTCGCCTCCTGCGGTAGTTGCCCTTCTCGAACATGTCCTCGCAGGCGGGGTCCAGGGTCCAGTAGTTGCCCTTGCGCTCGCCGCCGCCCTCCCGGGGCACCTTTATGAAGCACTCGTTGAGGCTGAGGTTGTGGCGGATGCTGTTCTGCCAGCCCTTCTTGTTCTTCTCGTAGAAAGGGAACTTGCTGATGATGTACTGGTAGATCCCGGACAGCGTGAGCCTTTTCTCCGCGCTCTCCCGGATGGCCATAGCGATCAGGGCCACGTAGGAGTAGGGGGGCTTCTGCGAGGGGTCCGGCTTCTCGGGGCCCTTGTCGGCGCTCAGCTCCTCCTTGCCCCGCTCCGGCTCCTTGCTGCCGCTGGTGTCATGAGCCAGCAGCGCCACCGCGTCCTCCTCGCCGTCCGGGTAGCTGGTCATCATGGTGCCCCGTGTCCGCCGCCCCGCCGTCCGGGGCGCGCTGCGGAGCGCTGCCCGGGGCGCCGAGCGCGCTGCCGGCGGCCGTCCTGCCCCGCGCTCGCCGGGACCGGGGCCGGGACCGGGGCCGGGGGGTCGAAGCCGGGACCGGGACGGAGATCGGGAGGCGCCTCTCGCGGCGCCGCTGGTCCGTGCAGCGCGGCGGCGGCGGCGTCCCTGCCCCCGCGGGCTCCGCTCCCCTCTGCCGCGGCGGCCGGGCTCTTTTCTGATTTGTATGGGCCCGGCCGAGTTCCGCTTTCGTCAGGAGCCCGCTCCCCTATCGCCGCCGAGCCGCTGGGCACGGCCGAGTTCACCCCGCAGTCACGGCGCCGCGCTCAGCCCCGCGCACACGCGGCCCGACGTGGCCCCGCGGAGCGGCGCGGAACCGCCCCGGCTCGGGGTGAGGGGCGGGGGGGGGGGGGGAGGATGTTGGGAGGGGTGGGGGTGGGAAGAGCCCGGGGGCCGCTGAGCGAGGCTCCGCCGCCCGCCCGGCGAGCCCGCCCGGGGCCCGCGGCGCTGCGCTCCCGTCCCGCCCGGCCAGGGGCCGCGCCGCAGGCGGTGGGTGCGAGGGGGTGTGCCCGCACGGCCGCGGCGCTCGCCCCTGCCCCGGCGGCTGTCACACGTCCAGCCGCACACGCGGTCGCGTTTATATGTCTTGGCCCTGGGCCCCGCCAACCGATCGCGCCCGGGGAGCACAAGGAGGCTGCTGCCGCTCCCTGCGGAGTCGGTTCTTGCTGCCCTTATTTGCGGGACGCAGGGAGCGAAAGGTGTCGGGTCGCTCCTTCTCCCTCCCCGCACCGTACGCGCAGGCACCCAGCGCGGCTGCAGGGCTGACAGACGCCCCGAGGGCCGGGGCAGGGTGGCGAGGCGGGGGGAGGGGGGGTCGTCACCCATCGGGCAGCTTTCCTGCTCGTTCCCCCGGAAGGCTCCGGCTTATTTCACACGGTTCGTGGAGCACCGACGTTCCCCGGCTCCTTCCCCTTCCTTGCCTTCACGTAGAATCTCCCCGAGCAGCAGAAAGGCAGCCTCAGCTGGCCGGAGCACACGAGCATAATAAATCACTAACACGGGGCTGCTCCAGCCGCGGGTACAGAACCGGGCAGGCGGACAGAGGATCCCTTGCGCTGATTTCTAACGGAGCGATCCCCGGGAGCGATGCGGAGTGGCCCCGCTTGTCCCCCCGAGCCCTCCCACCAGGGAACGCGACCGCCGGCAGCCGCAGGAGCCGGGCCGAGCTCCGCGGGGCCGGGGCCGCCTGCGCTCCGCAACCGCGCCCGCCGCTCGGCCCTCGGGGCCCGGCGCTGCGCTGAGCCCGCTGCTGCCGGGGCGGCTCCGCTCCCGGGATTTGCCCGCACGGACCTGACCTCCCCCCTCCCGTACTCCAGCACAATTGGGTGTTGCCCCTCTCGGGCTGCCCAGAAGCGGCCCTCGGAGGAGCACAAGGCCACTTCGGCGCCCGCAGACCCGCGGGCCGGCGGGTCACGGCCCACATACTCGCTTCTGCCTTCTCTTGAACGTGAACCGCTGCGCAGCGCTATTCCCCGCCCCGCGGATTTTACGTGCCACATCAATTTTCGTGACCAAACGCGAGCCCGCGGGGCTGGCAGCTCTCTAACAGCACGCCCGGTGCCGCCGGCCTCTCCTCGAGGTGTGCTGGGGCTTTGGCACCCCACTCGCGGCTCTATAGTCCCTCTGCCCGGCCAAGGGCACACGGGTCCCTGCTCTCCTCCCCGGGAGAGGCTATTTATGGGTGAAGGCAGTTGAAGATGTAAAAACGTATTTTAGTCGAGAAATAAAATAGCCACTCGGGGAGCTCTTATATCTATTATTGCATTTCTCGGTGAAAATACATTTCTACATCTTCGCCCAAAGCCATATAACGAATCCCTTATCTCCTATCGGCAGAGAAACGTGTACCCTAACACCCGGACTGCACGAATTCGGTCAAGAAGCGAGGCCCAAATATTTCCGCACACAGACGCGGAGCAGCGCACGCCGCCCCCTGCGCACCCCCCGAACGCACACAAACGAAAGTGCGGAGGGACGAGGCCCGCGGGAGCGACGCTCTCCGGGGTTTTCCTGCCCGGCGGCCCCCGGCGGCTCCGCGCAGGGCGGCCGGTTCCGCGCAGGGCGGCGGGCAGCCGGAGCCAGCTGTGCCCGGGGCCGGGGCCGCGGGCTCCCCGGGGCCGGGGCTGGCTTCTTTCTGCCGGCCACCCATGCTGCTGTCGACGCTGCCCCTCGCAGGCATTTCCGCGGCGAGGGCCGGGGCAGGTGTAACAGCCCTGCTGCGTGTGTCATCGCCTCCGCCAAATGGCAGATTCCTCCCTTTTCTCTCCTAAGCCGGGCGCGCAGCTCCTTACCGGGGCTCGCTTGCTCGCAGAGGACATTTGACATCCGAGGGGCTTGTTTGGTTGTTTTTTTTTTTCCTTTTTTTTTTTTTTTTTTTTTTTTTTTTTTTGACAGCCCCACCAAGGGGGATTTCGGATGAGCACCAGGGCAGAAGCTCAGCCCAGCGCTGGGAGCGGCGATCGGGCCGAGCAGCGGCAAAGGTGAGCGCGCAGCCCCGTGTGCGGCTACTGGAACGTTTGACACCAGAGCAGGCAGGCACTGTCGGGCTCCCCCCTCTCCCCGGTGCTAATTAAGCCCTTCTTGGGACATTAAAGAACCACCTGAAAACGTAGGGGCACGCCACTGCAGCTGAGCCTGGACACTGTAGCTGCAGTTAAGCGGAGAGCTGAGGTCTTACCGGCACTCACAGAAATGTCGCAGCGAGGGGAATGTGAGTAACGGGGGGGAGGCAGCAAGCAGAGAGGCGCGGCGAGCCCTTCCCTGGTGAAGGAGCCGGGGATCCCGCCACCACCCCGGGGAGAGGCTCGATCTGCCGGGGCCAACCCGCGCCCCGCCGCTCCCGGGGCCGGGCAGGAGTCTCACGAAGTGAGTTCTGGACAAAGCGAGCGCAGAAGGAGCCAGCGAAGCCGCTACCGGAGCGGGCCTGCGGCCGCCCTCGGGAATAAGGGAAAGCAGGAGAGGAGCTGGCAGTGGAGGGGGCTCAGGGCCCCCGGCCCCCGGCCCGCTGCGGAGAGGGGCAGATCCCACCGCGGGGCTGGGGGGCGGCGGGGAAAGGGCTGTCGCTTTCTTCACAGGAGGGCAGAACAGCCCCGGCCCCAGCCCGGTCCCGGTGCGGGGAGGAGGAGGGCAGAGCGGGGCTCAGCCGCGGCCGCGCAATCCTGCTAAGAAGCGCCCCGAAAGGGGCTGCAAGCCGGAGCTTCGCCCTCCTTCTCCGGTACCGAGCTGGGCCGGGTCCCCCTTCCCGAACAGAGCGCGGGACCCTCCGCTGAGGCCCCGAGCCCGGTATCGCGGCTGGGAAGCGGCTGAGCCCGTCCCCGCAGGTGGAACCGCCATGCGGAGCGGAGCGGGGCGGGAGTCTCCGCCGAGGGCAGCGGGGAGCGCCGCGGGGACACGGGGCAGGGCCCGCCCCCACGCCTTGACCCGGCAGCGCGGACAACTCTTCCCACGAAAGCTGTGCCTGCAGCTGCGGCGCTGATAAGACTCGGGTAGCCCGAGTGGGGTTTTTTTCTACTCACCCCAGTGCGGGCAACAGAGCCGATTTCTACCTGGAAGGTTTGGGGTCAGTTTGTTTGAAAACGTGGCAGGCTTCTTCTCCCAAACAGGTTTTGCTTTTTTTTTTTTTTTTTTTCTTAAAAAAAAAATTCTCTTGGAGAGAAAACATGCCTCGGGCGGGGAGCCACTGGCCGGCCCCGGCTGGCAGCGCCCCGCTCCCGTTCGGCCAGCGCAGCCGAGCCGCCCGCAGGCAGCGGGGCAGGGCTCTCTCGTCCCGCACCAAGACCCGGTCGGGGACAGGCGACACAGCCCCTTTGCCTGCCCTCCGGCTTTGCCTCCGCTCCGGGTGCCGTGCCGCGCCTCAGCTCCCGGGGACGGACCCACGGCTGGTGCCGCGGTGCAGCCGCAAGTACCCGCCTCTCGGGACCGCTCCAGCCCGCAGCACGCTGCGGCGGTAAATGCGCTATCCCGCATTAACTTGGCTCGCGTGGAAACGGCACGCACACGAGGCTAAAAGCGGAGCCAGGCGCGTCTCCTTCCGAGCGCCGTCGCCCCGAGGAGCGGGACCCGCCGCGGCGGAGGGGCTGGGGGAGCCGGGCAGGGCCGGGCCGCGCTCGGTCCCCGCGGCACCTTTCCCTTCCTCGGCACAGCCGCCAAAGCTTTTTCTTGTTTTGTTTTGTTTTGCCTCCTCTCTCTTCTTTTCCCGCAATACTACTAGGCGTTGAGACGGCGCAGTATTTGTTGCCATAACAAACACGGGAGAATAAGGTTACACGAAAACCCGGCATGTGCGGGTCTGTGCTGCAGCCCGGCGCGCATGAGAATTAACAAAATGTACTGCGGGGAAGAAACTATTCTGGCCTCGATGAAAATTCATCACATTTAATCTGTTAAAAGGCTGGAAAGACGGAGGCAGCGTCCGGTGTCACCTCCGCGTGGGAGCTCCGTGTCCCCGTGGGCAGAGCCAGCCCCGCAGCCGCGGGCACCCGTGGGCTGCCGCCCCGCGTCCTCTCCTGTCCTCGTTTCTCTCCCTTTCTAAAGGACACCTGAAGGCAGGGCTCGATCCCGGCGGCGCGGATTAGCGGCACAGCACTAGCTTCCAGGAACAATAACGTTTGCAACCCCAATGCAACCACTACGTGGGACAAAATTGCATGCGTGTCACTCTTTTAAGACCCTAAACTCTGGCCTGGAAAAGCTTTCATTTTCAGAACCTCACCCCTCCCTTGGCCTGCAGATCACCTCACCCTTCTAGGGACACCACAAACACAATCCTACTTTCCTGTCTGTTCAGGATTCCCAGCAGCACAGTCCCGAGCATTTCATAAACGCTCTTTAATTATATCACTTGGCGTGTGATGCCAGAACAAGGCAATATTCACCTGGAAAGTGTCTTCTTCTGCATGAATGAGTCTCATTGTGAAAACCTTGAGCATATATAGGTGTGTATATATGTTTTGCAGTGGAGAATTTAGTTTCTCATTTATACTGTAAAGCTAAAAATTCTGGTAGCTTCAGGCTTGTTTTTACAAGCTCCCAGTCGTACAAGGATTTCTGTTTTTACAGGAAAAACTGAGCAGTCCGTAGACCATGATGGCTGTACATCCATAATGTGAGCTTCATG